CCGCCGATCATCATCGACGAGACATTCAGTTCGAGGTTGGCGAGCCAGCCTTTCTCTGAGTTCGTCCGATTCGCGGAGTTGTACGATTCAGAAAGAGAGGGAAGCTGCACCCTCGATTCATCGGTCCGTTCGAGGTTCTCGAACGAGTAGGCGAGGTCGCGTACCGTTTAGCTCTACCTCCCGAGTTGTCAGGCATTCATAATGTATTTCACGCATCGATGCTCCGTAAGTACGCGTGCGACCCCGATCATGTCATTCCTCATTCAGATATTCAGGTTCAGTCAGATCTTTCGTACGAGGAGCGACCGGTAGCTGTTCTAGACCGTCAGGTTCGTCGGCTCCGAAAGCGAGATATTCCCCTCGTGCGCATTCAGTGGGATCGCCACGGAGCTACTTGGGAGGAAGAGTCCGATATTCGCGCTCGTTTTCCAGATTTTCAGTTTTGATGTATGTATTTTCAGTTGTGTTCAAAATTTCCTAGGACGGAAATTTTGTAAGGAGGGAGGATTGTAATTTCCCGACAATTTATCAGTATAAATTATATTTTAGTTCCGACATTATTCCTCGGAATTAATTAATTTCAGTTATTTCAGTCGAAATTACCGGAAACTATTTTCGACGTACCGTTTACGTCCGGGATAATTTTGGTAATTAAGTGTTATGCTTAATTATTTGATTAAGCCTTAATTTGTGATTAATGGTAATTAATCCTCATTAGCATGCTATTTGCCGTGCGTCCTCTTTCTTTTTGTTGTGTATCATGTTAGTGATTTTTATTGTGGTCAAGATTCCTTACAACTTGCCCTCAATAGCCGTGCGTGCATGTTGTTAGTGCAATGGCCAAGAGATTCCTCCCCCCCCCCTTTTGTCCTCTAATACCGTGTACATGCTAGTGTTTGTTCAAGCATTTCCTTCTTTGTTTTCCTTAAATGACGTGCGGTTTTTCATGTGGAATAAGTGGGATTTTGTCCACTAGCCTTCTCCTCCATGTAGCGATTCCCGTGACTTGGTGAGGCCAAGAGAGGTGTGCATGGTTGCCAAGTGTTCATGGTCTTTGACCATGTAATTTCTCCTCTTCCTTTCGGCCGTGCATAAGAGAGTTAAGTTGGAGAAACTTTCCATTTTCCATCTTCCTTGTGCGCCTAAGTCCATATTGCCGAGAGCTCAAGAGAGAGTTGTGAGGATTTTTTTTAGTGTCTTTTGTGAGCATATGGCCGAGAGTTAAGTGAAGCATTGGGTGTGTTGGGTGTGTTATTCGTGGGCAATTGCCGAGAGCCGCACGCAACATAAACCATCGCACGGCGTCGCGCACGCGGAGGGGCACGACCGAGAGCGGGAGTTCGAGTAGATTAGTCTCCTGAGCTTTATAAGAGGTAAGTTCCCGACGGTTGTTGACCGAGAGTGGCATGTTTATTAAGATTAGATTTTAATTTTGGCATGCATGCGTGTTATGCGTGTTAAGCCGTAGCCGTGCTGACCATGTCATGTTACAAGTTATTTTCTCCGAACTATCCTTGCATGTTTAGCTTTTATGTGCAATATCATGTTTAAAATAGCTTAATTGTTCGGATAATTAGTCATGTTGGTAGTGCCTTGGCCGAAGGGTTGTGGTCGCACACTTAGTGCGCACCGCGGGCCACTCGCATGTTATAGCATGTTAAGTTCAAACCTTCGACCATTATGTATTTTCATGTTCAGTAAAGTCATGTTTAAGCTCAGTAAATTTACATTGCCGAGAGAATATGTATATGGGTCGAGGAACGGCACAACGCCGTCGGCGGCGCACGGCACGCCCGCCGCGGCCATAGTTCAAGCCTTCGCATGAATCTTCATGGTTTCAGTATTTATGTGTTCATATGCTCATGTCATGCTAATTGAAGTCAGTTTGTTCGGAAGTTATTGCCGGACGGCCGGCAAGGGCCGGCCGTGGCCGCGCTGTCCGCACATAGCGGCAGCAGCGCGCCCGGCAGCCAACCGCGCGACTGGC